AAAAGGCAGAGTTAGAGTGGAAGAATAAGATTTGCCCTAACATAAACACGATCCTTGAGAAACACTTGTCACATGTGTCTGACTGCATGCCAATTACATGTGATGATATGCACTACCAGATTAAGTGTTATGATGGATCACAATTTACTGTTGATTTGGAGAAAATGTAGGGTATGAGATTTAGGGGGCATTCCTTGTAAGCATGCTTGTAGTGCCATCCTAGCTAAGAAGTTAGTGCCTATTGATTTTGTTGATGGCTATTATTCACAAGAACGTTATAGGAATGTGTATAGGGGGTCAATATTAGGAACAAATAGTCCATCATTATGGAGGCATGCCTTTTTATTCCTCTTTACCTCCCAACTTTGGGAGGGGTCTGGCAGGCCTTCAAAGGCAAGAAGAAGAGAGCCAGAAGAGACTCAAAAGAAAGGAAAAAAGAGAAGAGGGAAGCATCCAATGAAATTGAAGAAGCAACAACCAACTGTGAGATGCAAACAATATGGCTTGGCTGGGCACAATTCAAGAACTTGTCAGAAAAGAAGGAGTAATAAATGAACACTAAAAGCCAATTAACTCAAGAAGTGGACAATAGTCAATTGAAAAGGGCTTTTGATACAATTGTAAGTTATGATTTTTTATTAAAATTTATAAGTTATGTTCTTGTTATTATAAGATTATGTGAGTTGACTTTATGTTATTGTAATTGGTCTATTTTTTTAATATAGCTTGTAAGAAAAAGAGCTTCAGCTGCTAAAAGGGCTAAGATGGTTGGAACATGACAATTATCGAATCTAAGTATTGATTTCATTCATTGTTGCTATCAATTTTTCTTTTGAAATCAATTCTTGCTAACCATATTTTTTACTTTATTCATTTCAGAATCCAACACTTTTGCCACCAGTGATAGGGCATCGAGAAGATGGTGTTCATCTGGAGTCCCTTGGTCCATTCTGTGAGGAGTACCAAATCCCTAAAGTTGCCAATCAGACAGGGCCTACCCCGTACCTGCAATTGCAAGGTTTAATGGCATCAACACAAGGAAACTAATTGTGTTTTGTGTATACTGTTTGTGTGGAAATTTGTGGGAATTATTTTGTGGAAAGCTGAACTAATTTGTTTTGTTAAACTACTTTGTAAATCCCCCGTTGTTTATGGATGCTAAACATTCTATATTAATTTTAAAGGTGATGTATTTTGGTGATTTTTGGATTATGACATTGACAAATAAGTGATGGATGGTTTTGGCATTGGACTGAAATGGGTGTAATGGATTTGCGCATTTTGTAATGGATTATGACATGTTGTAATTAGTGTTTTTGCTATCAGGTTTATGGGAAAAGAAGTTGTTACTACCAATTTGTGTTGATGGTTTATGTGGTTTATGGATTTGCCTTTATTTTGATGGTTTATATGTACAATAATTAACCTATGTATAACAGGTTTATTGCCTTCATTTATGGTTTATATGATTTACCCAGTTAATATGATGGTTTTTAGTTATGAATTTGCCTCTATTGATTATTGAGCAATAGATGGTACAAAGGAAGCAATTTCTTGTGTTTATATTGATTGTTGAACACATTGTCAAGCTAAGGTGTGTCTATTGATTGTTGCTACCAATTTATTTCTTTATTGATTGCTCAGCATTTGTAAAGTTGAGGTGTGTAGCTAGCATATTAATCTGTTCATGGTTTATGTCTGCCATGTTTATGGTTTATGAGCTGCATTATCAATAATGCACATTTCACAAGTCAATGCAAACCATTTCAGGAACTTTGAAGTTTCATAAACATGGGATAAACACTTTGAACTTTTAACAGAGCATAACCACTTTAATCTTTGGATCACACACAAGACAATTCATTACCTTACAACAAATAAAAATTACAACAAAGAAGTTCATGGTTCATCAAACCTAACAAACCTACTCTAACAAACTGCTAAAACAAAGTCGAGTACAAAAACTGCTAAAAGTACCATTTTCATTTCATATTCCCACCAAATTGCTAAACTAGCATTTGTTCTTTGAAAACAAGTAGAAGAACAGAGTCACAACCCTCACAAGAAACCAAATTTTGGACTTCATCTTCATTTGCCAAACAGAGTTCTCTAACTCCAGATTCTTCTTCAATTCAACAAATCTCATGTTTTCCTCTCGCAGTTCTTCATTCTCAGCACGCAAATCATTTGATTTTCGTAACAATCCAAGAATAATTTCTTTCTAACTTTTACAAATAGGTGGATCAACCCAAGAGAAGAACTCACACCCTTCTCTCTACAGATTAAGAAAATGAGTGAACGTTTTTGTTTTTTTGTTTTAAAAAAAGAGGAACCAACAAGAATGGAAATGAAGCATCAATTACCTTATACTCAATGCAAGAACGAATTCGACGTTCGAGATTTTTCAGTCAGAGGTTCAATTAACTGCTCTTTGACCACAATAGCAGTACCTATGATCGGCGGCATATGTGTTTTCTGACATTTTTGTGAGAAATTCGGAAATTGAGCAAATTGGGGATTAGGGTTCTTGGGTTGAGAAACTAGGTTATGTGAGCTCGACAATTTGGGGCTACAATTTGTAATTTGGGACCAGTTTTGTAAACTAAAGTCGATTTTATTTCGATTTTTTTGTGTAAATCCACGCGAATTTTTATTTTATTTTATTGTAATTTTTTAACCATATTCTTTGCGACGTCCAAGTGTTGCAATGTCAAGTCCGTGGAAAACAGACTTTAGCTCGTCACGTGACACATCCGGCGAGAATTTTGATTTTTGGGTGTCCGAAGGACTGAAATTGCGTTCACTATTTAAATTACAGGACTAAATAGCCAAAAGTCCAAATCGGAGGACTAAAATTGCTACACGCTCAAAATAGCAACCAAAATTGCAATTTTAACTTTAAAATATAACTAGTACAATATTTGTTTACTACACGGGTAGTTGATAAAATAATTAAATGTACAGTAAAAAAAAGATATATATATATTTTGTAGATTACGAACTTACGTTATTTGGTATAAAAATTAGTAACTTTTATCCAAGTTATATTACAAAACATAATATTTTACTATATAAAATTACGAAGCGTGCGAATCTGACCTTTAAACTCAGCGCGTTCTGAAATTATTTATGAAATTATATATAAGAGGATATTTTTTTATTTATTTAATTACGTCATTCACTACTAATAAATTAATTAATTCGAAGAACTACAAAGTCCAATAAAGCGTGGGGGAGGCCAGTACTGTCCTCGTGTCCCAAGTTTCTCTCTCCTCTACTTTTATCCAACTCCAATAATTCACACAGATCCACAGATCGCCTCCGCTGCTAGCTTGATTACTCTCGGCCATCTACGAAGCGAAATGACGGCGGGTGGTTCATCGACGGGGCGGCTGCCGACGTGGAAGGAGAGGGAGAACAACAAGAGGCGGGAGCGGAGGAGAAGGGCCATCGCCGCCAAGATTTACGCCGGACTCCGAGCCCAGGGAAATTACAAGCTCCCCAAGCACTGCGACAACAACGAGGTCCTCAAGGCCCTCTGTGCCGAGGCCGGTTGGGTCGTCGAGGAAGATGGCACCACTTATCGCAAGGTAAGTCTCTTTCGCCCTCCCAATTTCCTTTGTTTACCGATGTTCTTTATCTGATTGCTTTGTTTGTGAGTTCGGTTGTTAATAGTTCGTGCCTCTCGATCCGCCGTGTCGGATCTGATCTGGTTTACCTTCGCCCCGCTTTATTGGAAAAAATTTCTGATTGCTCTTTTAGCTGATTCATAAGCTAGGGATCGTTTTCAAAGTCAAATTGATTAGGAGAATTTGTGTGTTTTTAATTTCTTTGATTGTCATTCTGGTCACATTAATCTATTGATCAATCAATTAATTAATTGTTGTTTCTGTGTATTAAAAAACTTCCTTACCGAAACATGATTGGGAGAATTTCTAGTGAAGAGTGATTAATAATAGTTCTCTCGCTTCACCTGATATATATCAAGGATTTAGGATCATACTTGCTTTGGAATTTCCAAATTCCCAGTGTTTTCCATTATGCATGTATTTGCTTGCTTTTCCACTATTTCTCAAGAAAATTGCTTTCACAGTGATGATTCAATAG